GAGTTTGTGTGGGTTTCCTCCGGGTGCTCCGGTTCCCCCCACAAGTCTAAAGACATGTGGTCCAAAGTGTATGTGTGTGAATGAGAGTGTATGGGTATTTCCCAGTGATGGGTTGCAGCTAGAAGGGCATCCGCTGCGTTAAAAAAACTGCTGGATAAGTTGGCAGTTCATTTCGCTGTGGTGACTCCAGATTAATAAAGGGACTAAGCCGAAAATAAAATGAATGCATAAATACTTTAGCTTTACTTTATCATGACAGCCATTTGTCAGTACAATTAACTTTTTAATGACATTGTGTGTGACTCATCGAAAGGCTTGAATTAACTCCACAACAAATACATCAAATAATCATTGGGAAAGTTTTTACTGAAGTATTTCTTACAATTGTTACATGAGATCTGCTTCTTTCATGTCTGTCAATGTGCTGTTTATCTGACGCAGCATTAAAGGCACTGAACTAGCTAACTTTATTTATTTATTTGACCATAGCCTCACTCTTTTTATTCATTATTTTGCCGCAGCTCCGCTCTTCTTATTTATTGTTTCGCAGCCCCATGAGCAAAATAACAATCATTCCGCAATATAAGTGTAACAGCGCCATTGTGGTCCAGTGGTCAGCTCGTTGCGTTACAACGTTGACGATCCGTGTTGAATCCTCACCTGAGTAATTCTTTTTTTTCTTAAACCATAATAAGTTGAGACTACTCAAATGATTTGAGGAAAGTGATTCCATCAGTTCATTTGAGTGATGGGAAATCAAAAACTAAATTAACTAATTTGGCCAAATGTGGTCTTTTCTTTGAATTAACTTAATTACATACAGAACACTTAAATGTTTAAGAATTGATAACTTAAAATGGCTAATAGACTAAACTTCCATTTTTTTCAGCTTTTATATTCTTTACTTACTTATTCCCAGGGTTGTTTATTTTGAAGTTGATATTTAGCCGTACCATGTTGGTGCTTTGTAACATCTTATGTTTACGAGGTGGGTCTTTAGCCCAATGCTCAACCCCCAACCTGGAGGACCAGGACATGCACACATACACTATGGACAATTTAGTTCACCCAATTCAGCTGTAGGGCATGTCTTTGGACTGTGGGGGAAACCGGAGCACACAGAAGAATGCCACGCCAACACGGGGAGAACATGCAAACTCTACAAAGAAATGCCAGCTGACCCAGCCAGGGCGTGAACCAGTGACCTTCTTACTATGAGGCGACAGCACTACCCCTGCATTTTTATCCATTAAGAAAAATGTATTTAAGCATTTAAATATCTACCGTACTTACTAATTTAACTTTTCCTCTTTCATCAGATGGGTTCAGGTAGTGTTTCTGTCCTGCTGTACTTTAGCAAAATTCAGCATCACAAGCAAAATGACCACCTTGTGTCATATAACATATATCAACTAATAAGCGCGTTGTCAAGGCAGAATTTCAAGTGCAACCAATCATTTTAAACAGAGACATAGTGAATCATTTAAAGAAGTTAAATAGTAAAATATTAAAGTTATTTGCTGCCTAATGAGTAAGTTAAACACACCTGTTAATTGTAAGTTGCTTTGGAGAAAAGCATCTGCCAAATGACTAAATATAGGCTAAATAAAGAACTTTATTTCCATTAAATAACATGAAAAAATACTGCAATAAATGTATTGTTCATTGTTTGTCCATGTAAGTAAATACATAAACATAAACTAACATTAACTAATAATATTGTAAAGTGTTACGCTATATACAGTATACCAGGGGTGTCCAAACTACGGCCCGCGATCAGTTTTGTGGCCCGCGAGGCTTGTGCCCGCGAGGCTTTTTTATAAATTTCAATAGAATCTGGCCCGCAATACAAAAATGAACGTAATTCAATAAATAACCACCGGGTGTCGCTATTACATGCATTCAATTTAGCAGCAGTTCTTGTTATGATCTATCTATCTATCTATCTATCTATCTATCTATCTATCTATCTGTCTGTCTGTCTGTCTGTCTGTCTGTCTGTCTGTCTGTCTGTCCGTCTGTCCGTCTGTCCGTCCGTCCGTCCGTCCGTCCGTCCGTCCGTCCGTCCGTCCATCCATCCATCCATCCATCACTTTTTTTTTTAATCTTTTAAAAAGATTTGTTTTATTTCGGCTAGAATAAAAGCAGTTTTAAATTTTTTTATGAACCATTTTAGATCAAAATTATTAGCCCCTTAAGTCTTCAGAACAAACCATTGTTATAAAATAACTTGCCTAATTACCTTAACTTGACTAGTTAACCTATTTAACCTAGTTAAGCCTTTAAATATCACTTTAAGCTGTATAGAAGTGTCTTGAAAAATATCTAGTCAAATATTATTTACTGTCATCATGGCAAAGATAAAATAAATCAGTTATTAGAAATTAGTTACTAAAACTATTGTGTTTAGAAATGTGTGGAAAATGGCCCTCGGACCAAAACGTTTGGACACCCCTGCAGTATACAGTACGTTAAATAAAGAGCAGCCCAGTGCAATTACAACAACAAGCACATAAGACTCTCTGAACTGTCTGCACTAACAAAACACCCAAAACACACAAAGAGGGAAGAAAAGGTTCTGGCACCTGAAAGAAGAAGCGAAGGGGAAAAAAAAAGAAGGATTTTAATATTAGGCGACCTTTCGTGGAATTTATAAAGAATGTCAGGAACTGTGAGCTGCCTGCTGGGAAGTGAAGCACCAACGTGATCGCTGAGAGACAGACGGCATGCTGAGATTTCAGATGCAATTTGAAGAACTATGATGCATTTAGCTGACTCACAGTATTTCTTGTTATAATACTTAAAAGACTTCCTTAAATTAGATTCAGAAAAGAGTTGCAGCTTACTCGTTCTGTCAAATTTGGTCAGCATTACACACATTAGCACACTGCCACAGCAGACATCTAAGACGGTCATTAAATACATTCATATACAAGCAAAAAAATCACAAATTGGCACACAAAAGATGTTACTGAAAGCTGAGATAGAAATATTAGCTCATTCTGATATACTCTAAAAATATAACTGTGGTCACTTCTAGTGTATACACTCTGTATGACCAAGAAGGTAATGCAAGGACCGTGTTTCAAAAACAAATCTTGTAATCTTAAGAGGCATCCATAATGTTTTCTTGTATACATGAGTGTTTTATGTTTGAGTTCTGAAATAGGAGATTATTCTACAAGATGTTCTTATTGTACAAGGACCTCTTATACTGCATGTATGTCAAAAGATCATGGGAGATTAGATTTATCAATTGATAACATCTTTTAAAATCCACATTGGGGTGCGTTTCTGAAAACCATCGTTAGCCAACTAAGGTCGCAAGTCCTGTCATTGCAAACATAGTTTGTTGATTTGGTATTTCCCAAATCCATCATTTCAATGAACATTCGCAAACTGTGCCGCAAACTTGTATACTTGCATGTACACCTCTGGAGCTGTAGTTAGAAACATATTTTTTGTCTGTGTCCTATCACCAGTTTTATAGAGTTGGCTCAGAAGGTTCAGAAGTCATTATCCATCCCGGTTAATCAACTATAGATCAGATATGGCTGTGGCCAGAAGTTAACGAGAATTATTTATATTATATTTTATAATATAAATTTCCCATTAATCGTATTTTATTAACCTCTACCCCTACCCCAACCCTAAACCCAACCATCACAGAAATGTAAAAACAGAGTCTTCTCTATTAGTATAGCTTAATAACCATGTGGATGCATGATAACAGCCCCTACTGGCCCAGAACTATCAGCTGTTAACCACTGATAACGCCCATTCAATCAAGTGATAACATTTGAAATGACATACGAACGGATAATACCATGCAAATGCCATACAACTGAGTAAAATTGATTGTTTTGGTCAAGAAAGTGGTTTGGTATTTTCCCAAAACTTTCTTGAGTGGCTGCACTCCCATAGAGTGGTCTCGCACCTCCAAAAGCCACTGCACATTCATCGCGTCGTATTTTCATCTTTTGAGGTGCAAATCAATGATTATATAACAAAAGAGATGCAAAATGGCTTACCCTTCTTCAGAAAATTCTATTTATCTTTTGATATTTGATGCCAGTTTATCAAAAAAGGTGCTTTATTGGCAAATGTTTTATGTGATATTATGTGGCCTGTACATTTTCACAAGTTTAATTTGCATCTTTGGATAGAAGCATAGCTAATGAAGCAGTTTTAACAATAAATTTCCTTGTATAAGGAATATTTTATTATTCTAATGAACCTTTTTTCATTAGAAAAGGGGAAAAGGGTTTCAGCTATAGATAGATAAAGGTTCTTCTTGTAACCACCAATGCCAATGGAAAAACTGTGATTTAGAAGAGTACAAATGGTTAAAGTTAAATCCAGACCCTCACTGAACCCCACTGTGATTTTATCTAATTTAATCCTCCATTATGTTGCTTCTTTTTGTCAGTGACACATCACTCTAGACGTGTAATTAGATTCATTCAACCATCACCTCTTTTTTTTTTAATTCCCAAAACCACTGAAGTCGCTTACATCCACACAAAAATTACAGTATATAAGGTTACATTTAAATCCAAACAAGCAGCATAAGCTTTACAGAGAAGACTAAGAAGCTTATGTATTCTCCATCCCACAACAATTAGCAGACATTTTTTTATCCTCGCACGATCCGTCTACCCAGCATTGAACTTTGCTGGAAAGGCACAGTGCATCGTGAGCCATTTACATAAGACAAACACTGACCGACAGACTAATCGACTACTTTTCTGGATGACTAGTCAACTAGTAAAAATGCGCAGTCGTGCAGGCTTTAATCTGATTTTAATGAAGGCAACCCAACAACGTGATATCCTAACCTGGAGCTACGTTTAGAGATGTGACAGCTCTAATAGGGCTCTCTGACACACCATGTGGTCAACAGCGTGATGAGTGAGCGTTATCAAGCCTGCATATGGGCAAGCAGCTGCAGATGTGAAGAGATCTGGCACTGATATGCAGAGTTGGACTAGTTAGCTTACCGAATAGCGTTGTCCATGCGTGACACAGTGAGGTAGGCTGCCAGATTGGCCGTGTAAGACGAACAGACGATAAGTGTGAATAGCCACCAGCTTCCCATTGCAATCCTTAGAGCCATTGAACTCATGAAGGATTCACCTCCTGCAAACACAAGAGAGATGAGAAAACATTCTACTGGCTGAATGACTGTTCACACCATTTCAGCCATACACAAGGAGAACACAGAATACAATGAAAGTCAATGCAGAGACAAGCTTTTTTTTTAGACAGCAAAGGCTTTTTGGTTACATGCTAACCAGCAAAACCTTGACCCATTGTCTATATTACTGAACCCTTCTGTGATTTTATCTCATTTCAGCCTTCCATTATTTTTCTTCCTGCTTCTTTTTGGCAGTGACACAGCACTGCAGCCGTGTAATAAGATTCATTCTCCCATCACCAGTTTTCTCAGAAAAGCTCAACACCTTATAAGCCTGTGCTGAAATGTCAACACAATATTCCTCTCCAGCGCACACAGCCCTGAAAATGTCATCAGTGACACAGAGACGGTGAGAATAAAACGGGAGGAGAAAAAAGATCTGGAGCTCAATGGAGCTCGTTAGAGGCTATAAGTTTTCTTTTGGGACTCACAGTCAAATTATCTGAGATCTGAGATGTCCTTTAAGGCCTAAAAAGATATGCAAAGAGTCTGTAATTGGAAAGGTCGAAGGTTAAGTGGAATCCAGTCTCATTACAGGGTTGAAAGTGCGCTGGGTTTCAAACTAAACATCTTGTCTCATTTTAGGGGCCTAAATTTGAATCTTTTAAGGAAAGTTTGATTCATACACAACCACATCGATAAGCAAGTTCAGTCGTACGATTTTAAAATGGAGGCATGGAACCTAACCCCACCACTAATCTCAACCGTCATTAGAGGATGAGCTAGACATACTAAATTGCATGAACTGGATCGTACGAATTCATACGAATTAGCCACTAAATCAAAAAGTTTTGAATTGCCGTGAGATTGTGTTGGTTTTAGGGATGTAACAACTCACTGTGAGCCAGAAAATCGATTCAAACATGTGAAGAATAAAACCAGTAGAAATGTTGAATGAAACGCGATACATGTTTTAAACGCTGTGTTTACAGGCACAAACTAGCTTTACTTGCATATCAGCAGTGAGCAAGAAATGGGGTGGCACCGTAAAATGACATCGGTGAAGTGTGGCAGACAAAACACACAGTGTGCAAACTGTGTGCAAAAACTGCAAAACGATGTTTACATATGCTTACACAGATGCCTATACACAAAAATACTATTAATAAGCCACACCACAACTGGAAGATATGCAGCTTTGCCTGCTCCGACGAGTGCTACAGAGATCACACAGTGCATCAGTGTTTTTATAGCGAAAGTGTGGAGATGTTTTTCCGACTAAAAGTGAAAGCTGTTCTGTTACAGAACCAGGTATAGATCATTTTTACCCTCTCTATTACAAATTAGTTTAGCATTTATAAAAAATTTGCTATTTAAAGATTTTCAGGATTATCTCTTTTCAAGTGTATGACACTGATACTTTATTGATTAATTTTTTTTCGTTTCGGCTTAGTCCCTTTATTAATCTGGGGTCACTACGGCGCAATGGACCGCCAATTTATCCTGCATCCTCATACACTCATTTACACAAATGACTATGCACAATTTAGCTTACCAAATTCACCTATGCGAAACCCACACAAACATGGGGAGAACATGCAAACTCCACACAAAAATGCCAACTGACCCAGCAAGGGCTCAAACTAGTGACCTTCTTGCTGTGAGGCGATTGTGGTACCCACTTCACCACTGTGCTGCCACACTGATACTTTTACTAAGTAATTATACAAATAATATTAATTATTCACCTTCATAATTATAATCAGCTCCTGTCTCTATCCTACTATATAATTAATAATTTTATAATGAGTTTTTTTTTTATGCCAGTGGTCAGTCTCCTGGATCAGAGGGCCACCTCTGTGCACACTGCTCTCTGGTTTAGAAAAGGTTTTAGAAGGGTTTTTTCATCAGCAGGTGACATTGTAAATGTGCACAACTTATGCCAGAAAACATAGATATGCTGATATTTCTTTTTAAAAATGTAGAATCCCAACATAGTCACTGTTTTCTTCTTTAGTTTGTATTATTTTAGTATAGATGAGTATTCTCTAGTTTGTATTATTGAGTTGTTGTTGTTTTTTTTAATAGCAATTTTGTTACGACAGTAAATATATTATTTTGCAAAAAAAAAAAAAAAAATGCAGTATTTAAGAAAAAATGAAAGGGCTCTTCACCTTAAATTTGTTTCAAATAATTTTGTTAAGTCATTTCAACCCCACTGACAAAAACATAACAAGAGTGTACAATAAGTAAATGGTAACATGAACTGATACTGTTCTTTTAAGGCTATAACATTTGTTGAAGAAGATTATGTGTTCATAAAGTGTTACTTTTATTAGGATTAGAGGCCTAATGCAATTTAAACACTATAAGCACATGTTTTACAGTGCTCAGCATATATAAGTACACCCCTCACAAATTATCTTTCAAATTCATATATTTAATAGGCTCTACAATATTATATTTCTGCATGTACATTAGATTAGTCAGTACTGAAGCCAAATCTGCAGCTTATACAACAAAATGACTTACGATAATGGTCCAAAAACTAGTACACTTAAATTTATATGTTATAGAAAAATATTAAACACACATAAAAAAAGGAAAAATCATCAGAAGCAAAAACAGTAAGTTGAAATTTTGCAAGATTGATTTTTTTTTGCAATATTCAGGTTGAATTTAATTGCATTATCTTTCAATTTCTAAATATGTTTAGTGACTAAAATATTATTTAATAAATATATCTGTTTAATAAATCTGTTTTGTTTAAATTTACCAAAATACATATTCACTGAGAAATTAATAAAAATATTCATTTTCAAAATGGGCTGTACTCAATTATGCTGAGCACTGTATTATCATATGGTTGTCCTTCATAAGTGAAACTGAAGATTTATTTAAGAAGGTGACCCAAATGCAAAACCTATTTTCATAATCACTAGCCATGTGTGTTTTAGCACCAAGTAATCAGTCCAGGAAGTATAATTACAAACCTGGAAACATCTGTAGAAAAAAAAAAAACAAGTCATTCAACATCTGTTGTCAATTGCTTGCATCTTGGTGCTGACAAGATACCCAGACTAAACAGAACAGTAAAAGGTTTTGGCATTTATCTAAAACCCCAAACACACTTCTCCCATCATATACACCTTTAGACATAATAAGTACATCTTTTAACAGTGAGCTGCAGAATTCTTATAAAATACATTTAATACATTTTGACAAACTGTCAAAATGGAGGACTCTAGGGATCAGCTGCAGTGCTGTAAGTTGCATTTGAAGAGCTATATATTCTGCTGAAAAGATGTTTTTTTTCTCAAAATAAAAGTAATAAAATGCTGTACTAGCTGCGCTCCTGCAGACAGGAATTTCAGCAAGCGATGGCACCATTCAGGAGAGGTGTCTATTCAGCAGTACCTCATCCCTCATGTTCATGTGACATGACCCAGCTCACCTTGCTGTACAAAGGCTCCGTAGACGATCCAGATGGCACTTTGAAAAGACGTGGTGACAGAAGCAGGCTGGTGGGGCCCAGGAGGATTCTGGGAGCGGACAGACTGGACGCGTCGGAGCAGAAAGACCATGACACCCACAACAGGAATGGCAGCAGCAATGCAAGCCCACACCGCTAGGTCAAACGGTGCCAGCAAGGAGAAGATGTTGAGTCTCTCTTCTGTTTTAGTCATCAGGATTCCCACTGAATAATCCAGATAACGTTTACTGAAGTCCACTACGTTTTCTCGTTCTGGAGTGATGGTGATGGCTGAAATAGCCACATCTGCTCGCTAAATAGCAATGCATGGAGAGTACATGTTAGAAATAAGATGACACGTGTAATGACTTCACAGCTACATGTGCCTAAAGAAATGTAATCAACTGAGGTCAAGTCACTTATAAAGTCAATTATACAAAAAACACTATATATAAGCATTACACACTTTGAAAATCTAAATCTCACCTTCCCAATTAGCTCTCCGATCATTCCATTCCATGACCCGTTGGTCTGAGGAGATCCATATTTCGCATCAGCCACCTGGTACATCTCATACTTAAAGCCCAGAATTTTGGCCAGGGCATCTAAAACATCTATGGAAAAACCTTTATATCTTTTGGGCTGACCTAGAATGTTTTCTGCCACCATTACGAAGGGCTCCTCCTAAAGAAGGGAGAAAATTAGAGGCTTATTTGATTCTCTATCACATTACATTTTGGTAACCAAATTTACACTGAAAAAAAAATATATGTCTGCAAAATTGTTGTAAACAATTTGAGTATTGTTGTGTGCAGTGTTGAATTTAAACAAAAAAAAAATTGAATTTAGTAATGTTCAACTTAATTTGTCTGTTTAAATTAAACACAAATAGAAAAAAAGATTTTAGTAAATCCAAGGAATCATCTTTAAATATATATATATATATATATTTTTTTTTTTAAATATATATATTTTTTTGCACTTGTTTTGTCTTAACATACACTGCCACTGATATTTGGGGTCAATGAGAATTCTGCATTTCTGAATTCTTTGAATTAAGTAGAATACAATACTTACCATTGCTGCAATTATAGTACATTATACATAGTATAGTATATATATTTGAAGTCAGAATTAATAGCCCCACCCCCTTGAATTTTTTTTTTCATTTTTTAAATATTTCCCAAATGATGTTTAACAGAGCAAGGAGATTTTCACAGTATGTATGATAATATTTTTTCTTCTAGAGAAAGTCTTATTTGTTTTATTTTGGATAGAATAAAATCATTTTTTTGCATTTTGTAAAAACAATTTTAAGGGCAAAATTATTAACCCTTTAAGCTACATTTTTTTCGATAGTATACAGAACAAACCATCGTAATACAATAACTTGCGTAGTTACCCTAATCTGCCTAGTTAACCTAATTAACCTAGTTAAGCATTTAAATGTCACCTTAAGCTGTATAGAAATGTCTTGAAAAATATCTAGTCAAATATTATTTACTGTCAGTTATTAGAAATGAGTTATTAAAACTATTATGTTTAGAAATGTGTTAAGAAATATGGATTGGTGTTAGCTAAAAAAATTCTTTATTTATGGAAAAAGGCATCAATACCACATTTTAAATCCTGGCTTTCAGATTTCTCTACCACTTCACTGTATTCTTATTAAATAATTTTGCGAGGATGCAGTAATGAAATGAATTACATTTTTAATTTGTGTAATTTCATAAGATTTACTAAAGTCAGTGTAATTGCATTACTTGCGGTACAAATATAGATTTTAGAAAATAATATTTGCTTTGGTCACACTTTATTTTGATGGTCTGTTTCATACATTGTACCTGGATTTCTCATAATTCTCATTAGATTATAAGTAGACTGTTGGGTTGAGGTTAGGGTTAGTGTAAATTGACATGTACTTGCAAAGTTTTTTATAGTCATTTAAATGTCTGTTGAAGGAGCAGTATCAACAGATATTAAGCAGATAGTCTACCAATACTCAAAGGGACCATTAAAAAAAGTGGTACCTTTGCTTTTTTTAAATCACATTTTCCGCTGCTACGTGCAGTGTAGCTGCTTATGTGGCCGTTTACATGTTGCGTCTTTTGCAGCCACAAGTTTGCTATTTCCAATAGAGGCGCAAATTGTGAGTGACGCAAACACACAGCAGACAAGCGGCAGAACACACAGCAGACAAGCGGCAGAATGCTCTCTTGTAATCTTGATATTAATTCAAAATTTGATCGTTTACAGTTTGTCTCCACAAGCCCAGACATAGTATGTGTTTTCTTACTATGAATGCCAATGGTTACAAGTATCCAGTGTTCTTCAAAATGTCTTCATTTTTGTTCAAAAGAAAAAAAGACAGGCTTGGAACAAGTGACAATTTCTTTAAACCTTTTTAACTTGTCAAGCTTCTGTATTGAACTCATTGTAAGGTTTTTCAGTGAATATTAAATTACTGAAAGAGCTGCAGTTTATTTATTTTTAATATTTTTTATATGTTTTATATGTTATAAAAGTAACTTCAAAGTAAAGAAATTTGTCATCTGATTACTTTTTACATTAAGTAATTATTAATGTAATCAAATTACAATTTTCCAGTAGTAATCAGTCATTCATTCATTTATTTTCTATTTGGCTTAGTCCCTTTATTAATCCGGGGTCGCCGCAGCGGAATGAACCACCAACTTATCCAGCACGTTTTTACGCAGTGGATGCCCTTCCAGCCGCAACCTATCTCTGGGAAACATCCACACACACACACACACACACACACACACACACACACACACACACACACACACACACACACACACACACACACACACACACACACACACACACACACTACGGACAATTTAGACAACCCAATTCACCTCTTACGCATGTCTTTGTATTGTGGGGGAAACCGGAGCACCTGGAGTAAACTGGGAGAACATGCAAACTCCACACAGAAACACCGCCTGAGCCGAGATTCAAACCAGCAACCCTTGCTGTGAGGCGACAGCACTACCTACTGCGTCGCCCTTGGTAATCAGTCATTTGTAATCTATTACTTTAAGTAACTTACCCAACACTGCTTATCTTAAAATAAAATAAATCATACATGCATTTCACGTGCAATTGTTTTGCAGAGTTTTTCAAACTATGATATTTGCGAGTTTAGGATTTTCTCACAATTTGCATGCATCTCTCAGAGCATCTTGACACTAATGGACAGGCTTATGAGCTGACATATCCATTATTTGGCGTTAGTGTCACAGATTCAGATTGGATCTTATCAATTATTAATTTGAGGGGAAGCAAAGATGAAAGCAGAGAGCTGCCAGACTAATACGTTTGGACATTTTTCTGCGATTTAAAGATTTAATATTGATCACAAACCATTTCTCTGTGGTGAATCCATCTGTTCAGGTCGTGACTTGTGGTCAGATTGGCTCTCAGTCACATTCAAAGCATTGGCTGACGTGACACTTTTACCAGTGACAGCTGGGACTCTTTGGTCTCAGGTTAATCTAAATGAAGTGTTTCAGTTGACCTGTTACACCATGGCCAGAAGAGCATGCGCTGCCCCATCAGACAGAAATTACCTCTCTAAATTCATCTGGGCAATTTGCAGTAAGGCATATCACCAACAAACAAGATTGACTGTTTTGTGAAACAGGCCCTGTGCACTCAAACGCAGACAGATGAAATATCTGAGGCTCAAGCAAGTGAACTGTAATTGTGTTGTGAGAGAGCACCATAGAGATAGACTGGAGAATAAATAAAGAGCAAAGCCCAAAGGAATCCCTGGCAAAAAAAAAAAAGCATCAAGAGTGTGCATGACTAAAGTACTGATGTCTGATGAGAAAAAAAGACAAAAAATACACAGAGCAACCATCTGGAAACATAAACTGCTTATGACAACCATAAATAATGAATGTGACTGTGATCCATAATATAATTTAGCAACACAATTCATGATTCATGGTCCCAGTTCTTTTGGTTTTAAAATCTATTTTGATTAAATTTCTTACACATTTGAACAATAAAAGAAAATTTCAAAACAATAAATTAAAATTTATATCACAATATTACTTGAGTTGTTCATTTTTTATCTATAAAAAAGTTTTCTTAAATTTTTTTTAAAAAGAGTAAATTTAAAAAAAAATAAAAGAGTAGTCAAATAGGCTACTAATGCTGTATTTTATTTTACTATACACATATTTTGTATAGGGTTGTGGGTAAAAAAGTAGAACTGAAGGAAGAGGAAAAAAAAAGGTCATGATTTTTACAATCAAAATACACACCTGTTTGAATGTTATCACATGATTAAATGGGCAATATCAGTGGTTATCAGCTGATAGTTTTGGGCCTTCTGTGGCTACTAGTAGGCTAGAATACAAGGCTGTTATCATCCATCCACATGGTTAATCATCTATACTAATAGAGAAGACTCCAGGTCCAGATCTGTATTTTACATTACTGGGACTGTTGGGTTTAGGGTTGGTTAGGATGTTAATAAAATACAATTAATGTAAAATTTAATAAATATTGTAAATAATTCTAGCAGTTAATCAGCCTCTCTATTAGAAAAGGCTCCGGATCTAGATCTGTTTTTACATTACTGTGACGAATAGGTTTATGGTTGGGGTAGGGGTAGACATTAATAAAATACAGTTAACGGGAAATTTAATAAATAATATAAAAAATTCTTGTTAACAGAATTGGCCACAGCCACATCCAATCTATAGCTGATTAACAATGTTGATGGATTATAACAGCCTTTAGCGCCTACTATTACCTCTACTGGCCCATATCTATTAGCTGAATGACGCCTATTTAATCGAGTGATGACATTCAAATCAACTGAATTACAATTTTATGAATTTTAGAAAATCACAATTTTACCCTGTCCTAGTTGGACGCGTCCGCTAGTTTGCTTGTGTGCACGTGGCGAATGTGACATCATCACGATGTTTGCAGAGGTTTGCTTTGGGTGCAAGCAACATGATTTTGGCTGACGGAGCATATACAATTTTTTGAGACTCAAGCAAACAGTTCACACTGTGCAGCGTTTCATTTGAATTAAATAATGAATCATTTTGAAGAGATTTTGTCTGAAACAGGTACGACTGTACAGACATCTTTATGATTCATCCATGTGTGATCATAGGGATAACCAGATGGACAATAATTCTTGACTAGAAATTTCAACAACAGTGGGAAAGGAGGCACTTTTTTGTAAAAGCTTGGAAGCCAAAACAGGTTGTTTAATTACAGAAATATGTTTTTTCACCATTCATTTTGAATTCAAAATAATTTAATAGTTACTATATAATTATTATATAATAATTAAGGAACAAATTATTTGATTCATAATTGAAACACATTATTTGAACCTATCAGTTTACAACACACTGATGCCCTGTTTTTTTTTTTTTTTTTTTTTTTTTTGGAGTTTATTGGTGATCGTAGTTTTTGCTTTCTATAATAAAAATATATATATTTGTAGAGCAACCCATGTTCTTTTGTAATTAATATTTTAATAAACTTTAATAGGTAGAACTGTCTGAGATCACAAGCAAGTGATGCATCAAAGTTTGATTTAAAAATCATGAATGGTTAGAAAAATCTTTATAATCATTAAAATAATTTATAAAAATAATTAATTAAAAAATCTTGAACAATGTTATTAATAAGACATAGTTTTGGAAACCTCATCTACTTTGTGAGGTGAGAACTCAGTCAGAGGAGGTGCGCGATGTGGTGCCAGGCGAAAGTATAAATCAGGCTTTAGACTATTATGGGAACAGATGACACTACAAAGTATCTTAGTAATTCATGTAAGACATGATTGTGGAACAATACTTTTTTTTTCTCTATAGCAACATTCCAGCCATCCAATCATTACCTGCAGGAACTGATTAGAACAGTGAAATAAAATCCCTAAGCTTATAAACGGGGTTAGTGGGTTAAACAACATTATTCAATCAAAAAACAAGGGAGGGAAATGATTGCTTGACAAGAGTTGTTATTCAAAGAGCATGTACTACTAAATCATCCTTTTTCATTCCAGTAACCTGGCATCAGTAATACTTTGATTGGACCTACAGGGAGCTGAATCAGATTTATTGAAATACGCACCAGTAAGGTCACCACTTTGAGAGTAATTCCTTGCATGCCGTGATCCGCCCGGTTCTCCCTCAGACTGCCGTTCAGCCCGCGATCAGAGTCCCAGGTCGCCAGCTGCGAACAGAGAAAAAGAAAGAGAGAGACGTGATTGAGCTTTGATCAAGTTTTAGATAGCAGACATGATTGCGAAGAAAAGGAAGAGGACAAAAAAAAAGTGTACACAGGAAGAACAGGGTCATTGCTGAAAGCCTGGCATGACCTCAAATGTACACAAACACTCTTTTGTCAATGTTAGACAGAAATCAGTAGCTCTTTCAAAATTCATCTCAAAGGTTTGGCGGTTTGTGCTTTTTGTCACACGCCCGGGTGAAAATGATCATGTAATCATGTGAGGTGGTTGCCTCGGCAACAGCTGTCACATTTTCACCTTCTCTTTTAAAACTAAATTGAACACACACATGCATGCACACACACATACACACATGCATACACACTAGGAGAAATCTGCTTTTTGTCTATAAGATTCATAGGCTGTTGATTAGAGCCAATATCACCATAGAAAACAAAATAAAACAAAAAAATAATACAAAAAAGAACAACTCAACCAAAACTTGTATTTAATTTCTAAAGGTCTTGAAGACTAGACAGAACAACACTTTGTCTTTTAACTTTTTTTTAAGATTTAAGAAATCAATACTTAGTGGATTAAAGCTGTTTTTCAAACATTTATTATTCTTATATATATATATATATATATATATATCATTTTTTTTATTATATGACATTTTACATTTTTAAATGACATATACAATATAAACCATGAAAAACTCGACTAAATTGACAGACCAATTAGAAACACATACATACAGTGGGGGAAACAAGTACTATATTCAACACCATTTTCCTAAATAAATGTAATAAAAAATACAAATTAAAGGCTAGTTTTGATAGACAAGACGCACAGAACCAGCAAGATTTGTACACTCTGTGTACAAGTCTGTGAAAAAAAATCACACCTGAGCAATGCACAACTTAAGCAACTATCACCAAAAAAGACTCTTATATAAAGTATTAAATACGTTTTAGTGGTTCAGTACTTTTTCCTTGTGTCATTTCAGTGGTATTCATTCATTCATTCATTCATTCATTCATTCATTCATTCATTTATTCATTTTCTTTTCGGCTTAGTCCCTTGATTAATCAGGGGTCGGTACAGTGGAATGAAAGGCCTTCATTGTTACTAACATAAATTTCTTTCCTTTTTTTGTATTGTTTGTATTGTTTGGGTTTTTACCAAAAATCTAGTTTAATTCCATGCAGGTCCTTTGGAAATATTTTTTTTCCCTGGGAAAAAAAAAATATAATGGATGCATATTGTAATCAATGCACATCAAACTGAGATCTTTCAAGATTGAGTTAGTTTATTAGGCACCATGACAGAAAGGATTTCTAAGGTTTTCTAAAAACACAGTCTCTGAGAAATATCAATATCAAAAGTGAAAACACTTCAATTAATATGCAAATACTTTATTAGTGAATATTCACATAATGCAGAACATGCACATCAATCTCTATTCTTCTTCAGTTTCTTTATATCAGTCCATGAACAAAAAAACTCTTTTCAGCTTTGTGGGTATTATCCTGTCTGTGAGTCACCACATTAGTAGAACATGAGCCAGTTCCTGAGCCAGAGCAGAAATGACAAAAGGAAACTGCTTATATTCTCTGTTCAGAAGCAATGACAGCACTTCTCTGCAACACAGCAGTGCACTTGAAGATGAAAGCTCTGATGCATCTATCTTTAACTTTAGGCCCATTCATCATAATCCCAATATCCCACTAGATCCATTGCTTCGCTGTGACTGATTCGGCAGGCCACTGCACTCACATCCAGGAAAGAAGCAACTCTGACCCAGAAATCATCCATGACTTCAGTCTGGCCAGTGTTTGACCCCAAAATCCTCTATGAGTGACAGGATGACAGAGCCCTTACCATCAGTCCCTATGACACATGTCATATGTATTCACTGTAGTAGCCAATAACCTGCATCTGTCACAATAATAAGCCCTACCTCATCCTTAATAGCAGATTCAGCTCAGATAGACAGATTTATTACATATGTAGAGCTATGTACCATAATATATCTATAAGTTTTAAGAAATAAATGAAAGAGATGTGATGTCTAACTGGTATTCATACGTTACTTTGGATATAATTTTAATAATTTAATTTTAATTGAATACCTTTTAAATTATTAAATAGTCAATCAATAATGTGTTCAAGTAATTCACTCACACTGACTTTTTCAGCAAATAAACAGGTCTTTATGAGAGACTCAGATAAATCATTCAGTTAAGTGATTTATTCAAACATTGATTCATTCAGGATCAAATCAAAGTATTCATTGCTGAGTAATAATAGTCAACTGAATAATTCACTTTATTGCATATTTATCACATTTAGTTATAAAACAAGCCAATAGGCTCTAGGTTAATAATCTAGGTGCAAAGTCTAAAGTGCATGGCTCAAAAGCATTAAGGGTGTGTACGAATCCACTTTTGCACTGCATTTTAAGGATAGAAAAATATGCCATGGCGCATGGTCTAACAGGGTTGTGCGCATTCTCTTAATGAGTTATGGGTGTGTTTTGAGCATAACATGCATTAAACCAATCTCATCTCCCATTCTCCTTAAGAGTCAGTTAGGTCACGCCATGGAGCATCTGCTATTTACATGGCGGACTTTGTGAGTGGAAAAAGCTGAATGCTTTACTAATGAGAAAACAGTTAAACAGACCCTCTGCAGCTCAAGGATAAAGAACAAGCCTTCTCCAATTTACTTTCTCTTTACTTCACTTTTACTCTATACTTTACTCCTTTTGTTTGTTAAGCACAAACATTTATTTCAAAACTATTTCTAAATTCAGTTCTAGTTTCCAGCAAACAAATAATTGAAAAATAATAATGAAGTATGGTCAAAAAACCATTTAGAGTTATTTCCAAACACACGTATTCTTATGCCCCATATGGTGATGCATACATTTCCAAAACCCAACAGATGGACAAATCTAAACTTGTTTTTTTTAATATATAAAATTCACATAATAAGCAGTACTGCTTATAATAATAACATTATACAAATGCAATTTGTTGTGAATAAACCGAAAAATCCCCCTCGAGATGGAAAAGGCATGGAGGCAGTGGTTTTTATATTTATTTCGAAAAAAAATTAATTTTGTAACATTTTAATCCTTTACATTTTTTCATATGTAAATATATTTGTGTATTTCTGTACATCTACTTCAGTCAGTTTTACAGTCTATTTAAGTTTTTCAAAATAGCAACGTGACAACAATGCGACTCAACCCACCTCCTTTTTAAACTGGAACACCTATGAGTAAACAAAGTGGCACAAATGAAATTGCTATTTAAACAACGTGGTGCAAAACATGAAAATTAGGGTTGCGCTGGTCAGAAAATAGCAACAAATTATGCCAAACACGTCTTAAGCCTTTTAGCGCCGGATGTATGATAGAATCCTAAGATAGTTGAATCAGTTGACACGTTTAAACATGGACTGATTAAGATCTGAAATCACTGTACCATATTTTGTTGTATCGTCTGGATCTTTCTTAAAACTAATCAAAGTAACTGGTGACATTGTTTCTAAAATAAAAGCTTCTTAATATTAACTTTTTTGAACTGTTCTGTAAAATCAATATTGTACAATGAGGCAGCTGGTCTCTCTGGCCTCTTTTCTGCCAATTTAGCTTTACTTGGGATCATCACAGTGTTTTTTTTTTTAAGCAAATGTATTTTGTTATGCTATGTTTGATTGATTTGTGAATCGCATGAATTAATCATTTGTGTTGCCTTTTTACTTTGGACTGAAATTGAATTAGAAATGTAGCTGTATCTGCCTTCACCAATCTGTAAGTTGAGAACTGGTCTGTCATAAACACATCAGTTAGTTTTCCCAGGTGAAGCTTGCAGGGGTTTTTCTTCTTCATTTCCCAAAATTTTCTCTTTTAGCTACGCTGTTAAATTGTTAATCATGTGGGTGGGTGTTGACAGAGATGAGAGAGCAGTGCGGCTTGTCCACTGGAGATGTTCTGTCAGCGAACACTTGAAAGTCAAATCTGTCCCACAGCACTAAAGAGGTTTCCATCATCTGCAAGTCTGTGTGGATATGCCTGTGTGTGTGTTAGTAGAATCAAAATTGATAAAATTCAGTGTCATGTGTTTCTTAAAGGGACATCTGAACTCAAAATAAACTTTCTATTTTTCACTCTGCCTGTGTTTTAAAACTTACAATATATGACATGGCTCTCCAGGGTTGCTATTATTGTTCACAGAAACGTTCGAGGTTACTAAAGTAACCCTTCGTTCCCCGAGGAGGGGAACGGAAGCACTATAAGTGGATTTGATTGTAAAATCCACGCATTGGGAGGTTCGGTTCAGAAGCTACTCGTCTGAAAGAGTATTGAACGGGCCAATTAAGAATGAATTGGCAGCGCAAGCCTGCGCAGGTGAGCGGCATAAGCAATCAACTGAGTATATAAGCTCACCTGGCGCAGCAGACGCTATCCTTTTTAAGCTGAAGAGACTTTCAACAGCTAAGGGACAGTCATTATGGCGACGGAGTATAGTGCTTCCGTTCCCCTCCTCGGGGAACGAAGGGTTACTTTAGTAACCTCGAACGTTCCCCTTCGGGGGGAACTTCAGCACTATAAGTGGATTTGATTGTAAAATCCACGCATTGGGAGCCCATTGAAAGCGCCATAATGACTGCACCTTACCAACACCCCCGATGAGGAGATAGTCAAGCAAGCGTGACGCACCCACATCATGGGGGGCGCGGTCCTCCAACGTGTCCCTGGCCCTAATTTATCCTACTTCAACAGAAGTTTTACGGATTTATATATATTTTTTGGGAAGTCGTGAGCATCTAGATAATTCTAGGAAAATACGACAGTACGTTGGGAAGCGTGCAATCCCGATAGGGAGGACGCTGCGGAGGCCATCCGTTACCCAAGGGGGGATAGATGGCAGAATTTACATATGGACTAGCCCTAAAAAGGGGGAGTACGCATAGCAAAAGAGTGGTTAGCGGG